TTCCCCTTCCCCTTCCCCTTCCCCTTCCCCTTCCCACCTGGCCCCAGACCCGCTCCTCGGTTCCCTTCCCACCCAGCCTTGGCGGGGTCCCTGCTCTCCTCACAGGCCATGGCGTTGGACCCCTGGGCAGGAGGAGGGGGTGCTGAGGGAGACCCTGGCCCTGGAGGCCGCATTTCCGGGCCTGCTCCATCCACTGCTCCTTTCCGCCGGCCTGCAGGGAGTACCCTGACTTCTACCGGAAACTCTATGGCCTCCTGGACCCCTCCGTCTTTCACGTCAAGTACCGAGCTCGCTTCTTCCACTTGGCTGACCTCTTTCTGTCGTCCTCGTGAGTCCTGGGGCACCTCGCTTTGCCTGGCTCTGTGGCTACAGCTGGGAGGGTGGTGGGGGCTCGCAGTCCTGGCCCTGCCTCACCACCACTGCCCTGCCAGCCACCTCCCTGCTTACCTGGTGGCTGCCTTCGCCAAGCGCCTGGCCCGCCTGGCTCTGACGGCCCCCCCCGAGGCCCTGCTCATGGTTCTGCCCTTCATATGTAACCTGCTGCGCCGGCACCCCGCCTGCCGCGTCCTGGTGCACCGCCCACATGGGCCTGGTGAGTTGGGGCTCTCTGAGGCTGGGCCGGAGCGCGGGTCGGGGTGCTGGCATCCCGGGGAGGTGGATGGCAGACGAGGGTCCGAATCTCATTTCTAGAGTTGGACGCTGACCCCTATGATCCCGGAGAGGAGGACCCGGCCCAGAGCCGGGCCCTGGAGAGCTCCCTGTGGGAGCTTCAGGTGAGGGCACTGCTGCCATGCTCTGGGGCCCTCAGAAAACCCAGCTCCCCTCTCCATGCCACCTCCCGCATAGCCTCACGCCGTGTCCCCCCCCACGGCCCCCTGGGATTGGGGGTGCATGGTGCTTGGCCTGCTCCATGGCTCTGCCCCCCCACCCACTCTGGTTGGCAGCACAGGAGGCTGTGGCTGGGGGCACAGGGCGGGGGCCCGGGGCAGCTGTTTCTTGACGGCCTTACCGCCCCAGGCCCTCCAACGCCACTACCACCCTGAGGTGTCCAAAGCCGCCAGTGTCATCAACCAGGCCCTGTCTGTGCCTGAGGTCAGCATCGCGCCGCTGCTGGAGCTCACGGCCTATGAGGTGCGGGGCGGGGCCAGGGGCGGGGGCGGGGGGGGAGGGCCTGGGCCACAGGGCGCCGAGCCGAGACTGAGAGCCACCGTCCTTTGCAGATTTTTGAGCGGGACCTGAAGAAGAAAGGGCCGGAGCCGGTGCCCCTGGAATTTCTCCCAGCCCAGGGGCTGCTGGGACGGCCGGGCGATGTCTGTGCCCAGCACTTCACGCTCAGCTGACCCTGCCCACCTGCGAATAAATGGTTTTACAGGAGAGTGGCTCAGAGCGTGGGCGGGACGGCTCGGTGCCTCTGCAGGGCGAGGGCCTCACGTCTGCCCGGGCCCACCTGGCACACAGCATGTTGGGTCCCTGCCTCCCCCACAGCCTGGGAGGTGACGGTGGGGAACCCGAGGTGCGGCCTCTCCCAGGGGCTCTGGGCCACCAGTGTCACAGGTCACTGGCCTGCCCCCAACCCTGGGCCCTAGTGATCTCCCTGGTGCAGAGCTCGGGGCCTCTGCTGAGGTTATGCTCCAGACACCGGGAGGGAGCTGGGGGTTCTCTCTACCCGGGTTAGTTATGGTAGCCAGCGTGTGTGGTGACGTATCTGGGTATGGGGTGTGTGGGAGTGAAAGGGGGTGTTGGCGTGACTAGGGGATTGGTGTGAGGGGGTTGGTTAGGGTTGTGAGTGCGGGTGTTGGCGTGAGTGGGGCGTTGGCGTGAGTGGGGTGTTGGCGTGAGTGGGGCGTTGGCGTGAGTGCGGG